TTAATTTTACAGAATTTTGTCCCAAAATAAAATGACAAAATGCAGTGTTCCACCTACATTTTATAGTTAACGTTAAGTTTGGTTTGTGGCTATGCTATTAGTTATCAAAGACACAATGCATACTAATGTGGGACATTTGATGTCTAAATTTAACAGTAGATGTCTCTTGTCTGTGTAAACAGACAACATGTAGTAAGATTTTACAAAAAATTACGCAATTTCAAAATTATTAAAGAACAAAATAAAGATTTTTTTTTGATTTTGGTCAAAATTTAAAATTAACATCTGATTGAAATATATCGAACTGTTGCTGGATAAATCTTACTAGAATAAATTTACCCAGTAACATTCAGTAATTTCTCTGCATAGAACTGTCAAATTAGATCTCTCATTTCACTCCCTTTTACTGAACTTTGGAGTAAACGGGCAACATCCCGTAATATTTGGCAACAATTGTTTCAAAAATTATATTTAAAAAATAAAATTTAATCGATTAAATACAATAACAAATATTTTATTAAATTATAAATTATATAAACAAATTAATAACAATAACAAAAATGTTGGAAAGCTTAGCTTTTTTCCCATTCAGGTGGTGCCGTTGATGACGGGCATTCTAATTAATTGAAAATTTTTGATGGCAATGGTCGGCTTGAACGACCACTGTTTTTCGACGTGCCAAATATACTTGGCGTTAATGGGCGACTGAAACGGTTCGGTTGTTGCTGTTGTTGTGATGGAATACGTCTAGGACGGAAGGCTGCTGGACGTTCCACACGTGGCAATGTGAACGATGTTTGTGGAAAAAGTTTTTGAGCTTGGAATGGCTTTGGCCTAAAGTTGATAATGCGTTCGGGACGAGGAACAGTGAGATGAGATACAGGTCTCAATGGAGCATTAACGATGGCAGCGGATGGTTTAAAAGCACTGTCAATGGGACGGAAGCTCACGACCCTGCCGGGACTTGGTGGCACAAATTGGGAGGAAATTTGCAATGGAGCATTGATAACTGCAGCTGATTGCGGTTTGAAACTAGCCTGATTTGGGCGGAAACTTACTGCCTTACCGGGACGGGGTGGAACAAATTGTGATGAAATTTGTAATGGCGAATTGACTGAATTGACAATTGGTGCAAATTCTTCGGCGCTGGTGGTGGGTGGACCATAAGTTAAATCGGGTGGTCCATAGGTTTGTTCGGGTGGTCCGTAAGTTACATCAGGTGGGCCATATACTTCTGGTGGCGGTGGTCCATAGGTTTCTGCGGGTGTACCATATGTTGTTGCAGGTTCAGGTGGTCCATAGGTTATTTCGGGTGGGCCATACACGTCATCGGGGGGTCCATAGATCAACTCTGGCTCTGGTGGCAAATAGGTTATTTCAGGCTCTTCTTCTACAAATGGTGGATCAGGTTTTAATCCAGCTGGAGGATAGGGTGCCACCTGTTGTTTAATAGGCTTTGCTGCACTGACAATCTTACTGGAGCTGGGGCCTGGGAAGCGTATCCGTAATTTGTGCACAACTGGCTCAGCTAATGAAGATGCGACTATTGCCGTCAACAAAACAATACACAATTGAAATTTGGCGGCCATTTTCACGTCCTAAAGAGATTCCGATTCGTTGTAATAATATCGAAGAAGACCAACACTGTTCACTTATTCCGTTCGATTGCAATGTTGGGTGTCAACTGTTGCGCTGGTCAATTTGGTAACGCATTAAATACAAAACATTTAATTAAATATTCATTTTGGTTTTCTGCACTGGCCCTCTAACCTTCAAATGAGGCGGGCGGTTAGTTGGTCACAAAAAATGTCGTTGTGTTTTTGGTCAACCTAACCATTTTTCAATATAATTTTATTTTTGATTGTAGTTATTTTTGTTTTAAGAATTTCCAATAGCCATTGTATGTTAAAGGGGGAGGTGTGTGTGTGTGTGAGTGTTTGTGTTGTTGGCACACACTTCAATTGTAAGCGTTAATGTTGTGACCAAATTTGTTCCCCCATAACATTCAATTGAACATTAATCAATTTGGTCATTTTCAATCATATGTTTTGCCACTAAAATCTGAGTCATGGGAAAATACAGAGTTCTCTGAGGGAGTTTTTCTAAAATGTATATTAATAGATTTTTGAATATGACTCACAAGAATTGCACGATTTGATATGCAATGTTAATACAATTATTCATGATAGTGCGAGCTCCGTAGAAGCGTGGTTAGCACGTTGATAGATTGATAAACACTTAAAGGTTTGTAGAAACTAAAATAGAAACTATCAATGTGTCGTATACTTACTGACGGATATTAAATAGCGCATACTATATGTTATATCAATCCCATGGAGGCTGGTTCTATGTACCGAATTGACTCGGAGAAAAGTGTGTGTGTGTTATTTTTGTCCTGGGAGCGGCATTATAACCTGGAATGTCTGCTTCGACCCCTACTGGCCCGAGATAGAAAGAAGCCCCGGACATAGGTCCTGCAGTGTTTGTCAGAACCTCTTCTAATATAGATCCATCTCGGTGAGATCCAATGGGTGTAGAGAATGGATGCATTTTTGAGGTTGCTCTGTACCAAACTGCATCCAGGAGTACTGCGAAAGGAGTTACGTCGGGTCATGCTGCGGTAGCACGTTCCCCAGCGTGTCTCAGAAATCATAGCCTCGGAATACCAGACACCCCAGCAGTCTCCTCAACGGCAAAACACGCAGCACTTAACACCACATATCTCTGTTCCGTGGTTCAAACCACCTTCCGATCATCGTCAACAGACAACCCGACTTTTAACGCCGTACATTCCTGAATCATGGAAAAGCTAATTAGCCTGGTTTCAGAAAGTTTACCAATTACCGCTTCAAAGAGCTGCCCATTCCCTCAGAACCTCGGGTAGCTGAGAGAATTTCCGTAGAATACCCGAACAAATACCAAACTTCCCAGCAGAGGCGTTGAGCGTCGTACTACCCCTGAAGGCCCAAGAGTGCGAGAGCACAGTGGCGAGACCACCTGAAGCAATGCAACAGAATAACCGGAACAAGTAAATTGTGGGCAGCGGTTAAGTTACTCTCGAATCCTGAAAGAAAGTATGGCAGGACGGCTGTAATTGTGAATGATCCAGAAAGGAGCGCGTGTTATGTTCACCGTCAATTCAGCACCCCGATAGTGACAGAGTGACACAAAGGAATGTAATACGACAAGCCGAGGAGGTACCACCACAATTTAAGAAGGAGGACGTTGAAGATGTCTGAAAAAAGCGAAGTCATCTAAAGCGTTGGGATCGGATGAAATATCCATGGTAATGCTCAATTCATTCAACATCAGCCCTCAACTTATCGTTAACCGTCAACATAGTTCCGGAAGCCTGGAAAATAGGCATGGTGTTCCCGCTACTGAAGTCTGGCAAGAATATCAGCAGTCGTGAATCGCACTGGTAAAATTCACTCCTGTCGCCTGTAGAAAAGACACTTGAAACGCTACTCCTCTCTTCACTGAGAAGAAGTTTTCCAGTTGCCCAACATCAGCATGGATTACATAAGATGCACAGCAACACAACAGCACGCAACTTCCACACATATTAGCAGAAGACTTAACCACAACTGGCCGTGCAACCGAACAGTTATGGTGGCACTTGACCTATCGAAAGCCTTCGATACCGTCAACCATGCCAAACTGTTCGAAGATATAGAGAAGACAAATATCCGACAGTGTTTGAAACGTTGTATATTCAACTATATGTGTGGACGTCGTATGTGAAATTCAGAACAGCCACGGGAGCTTAACACCATTGTGTTAAGCTCCCGCTGAACACAATGGTCGATGGAGAACTGATTCCAACCACAAACTACCTTAAGATACTGTAGTAAGGTTCGATAACCTTTTCAAGTCGTCTGCGCAAGCCATTGCTTTATGCGAACATGAAACATGATCCTCAAGTCGCTAGCCGGAGCACTTGGTCTGGTTGACCTCTTATAAAGGCTGGTAAGTTATGCGGCACCAGTGTGGTTTGCGAATGTAATTGATACACAGTGGAAGAATATCCAGACCTGCCAAAATGCCGCCCTAAGAGCAACAGGGTGTCTCTTCATGACTCCAGTAGACCATTTTCATGAGGAGACGATGATCTTACCATCGACAAAAATATATGTTGTCAATGCTGGTTGTTATCATTGGCAACACCTGTCTTAGCCTTATGGACAGAACTCCCCCACTCAGGAGGGAGGTCCAAAGAAGCATAGTCACTCGCACAGTAGAGCAATATCGTTTGAATACCATCATCGGAGAGCATCTCTCGTCCATCGCAGCAGAAGTGAAACATTTGCCCCGAAAAACAAGAGTAGTTTTAGCGCAACTAAGATCAGGATGGTGTAACAGCCTCAATATTGGGCAAGAATTGACGGTTCGATACCTAACACAGATTTCCAACTAAACAGTAAATTCGGAATCGGTCATTCAGGGCATTCTCTTCTGGTGGAAAATAAATACTAGACCCTCACCTCAACTCCTTCCACAGAACGTTGTTACCTATGCAATGCTCTAGGCTACAATTTTCATCTTAGTTTCCACTCAACACATTTAAGAAAATAGAAGAAGAAACACATTACGCGATCCACTGTAATACTGAACATGCTTCTTCTTATTAAAATAAAGGTAATATAATTGACAACATGTTGACAAAGTCGTAGAAAAAGTGTTGAAAATGTCTTCATACTTGTAGGAATAGGTATCGACATGACCACCACCGTCTCCACGTTTCCTTCAGGTTGACTACAATCTACAAAAAATCGATTTTTATAGTTGTATGGAAGTGACATTAATAAGCGGTCTTGGATTTCAATTAAAAATTAATATTGAATGCAATTGTGTATTTTTTTTAATTTTTATTTTATTCTAGAAAAACGCAAATCATTACATTTATTCTATTTTAAGGAAAGAAATATCTTTGTAAACAACAGTAAAAACAATAAAAAACATATCCCTAACAATGTACTAATACAAGGACTCACTCATCCTTACAGTCTTTGGTAACGGGTGGTGTATACAATAGCAGCAGGTTGACGGATCTTAGCCAATCTCAAGCGAGCTGGTACTGATGCAGGTGGTTGACGTCTTTGTGGGAAACGTTGGTATACCAAACGAGCTGGTTTCTCTCCCTGATCGAAAGATGTGGAGACGGCAATTACGGTACCATCATCGTTAAGCAGCACTTCTTCTTCGACTTCATCGACATCCTCGGCTTCGGCTTCTTCTTCTAGTTCTTCCTCAACAGGAACTACTACTTCTTCTTCGGGAGCCTGTTCTTGTGGGAACTCTTCAGCAGCATCAGTATTTGTTTCGGTGGTTTCTGGTGGGCCGTAAACTTCATCAGGTTGAGGTTCTTGAGGCTGTTGTTGTTCTGGTTCAGTGGCTTCTGGTGGACCATAAACTTCATCAGGTTGGGGTTCTTGTTGTTCTGGTTCAGTGGCTTCTGGTGGGCCGTATACTTCATCGGGTTGTGGCTCAGCCGCTTCTGGTGGACCATAGACTTCATCGGGTTGTGGTTCGGCTACTTCTGGTGGTCCATAAACTTCATCGGGTTGGGGTTCGGGTTTTTCAGTCTCAGTGGGCAATTCGAATGGTATTTCAGGTGTAACTCCAGCTGGTGGATAACCGGTAGGAGCTGGTGTTGGTGGTGCCACTTCTTGGCGTGCTGAAACACGTCTTCTAAGGGGTTTTTGGCGTATGGGATCGGCAGCGGCGAAGCAAATGGCCACAGCCAGGAAAACAATTAGGAATTTCTTCAACATTTTGAATTTGTTGCTCTCGTTTGAACCAAAATAAACAGAGACGATGGGGAGGTAGTTAAGGATGTTTTGTGTTTTCTGTTCGATTGATGAGTATACTGATGTTCGACAAGTGTTCTGTTCTTATATACAAAATGTCGGAAGTTCTTTTCCGGCAATTGTTTATGACAATTCTTATGAAGAATTTTAATTTACGAGCCCCGGCATTAGGTTTGTGGAGCAAATGTTATTGAAATACTTCTTCCTAGTATGGAATGGGTATGTGTTAGTTGGTTCGCCATGTATGAGCAGTGCGAGTTTTCAAAGTTCTTGAACCCATCCATTGACTTGGGCCTAGTTTCGGTGAAGCCAATATTTTTTGTTTGCTTTGTTTTTTGCTTGAGGTTCGATGTCTGGCTGACAGCTCTTGCCTATGTTGTTGACATTTCTATTGGCCTATACAGCAGCACGTGAGAATTTTTTCAATGTACATTGGTGCCAACCCCCTTACCCACCGCCGATTATTTTTTAGACGCCATATATTATTGTTGGCTTTATTGTTGTTGTTGTTGCAGTTCTTTCTGATATTATAATTCAAAGCATAATCGCTGAAATTTAAAAGTGTAATAATGGTCTTTCAACCTTGCGACACTGTTTTGGCCACTACTGGTGGATAAGTTCAATAATGTTCGCCGTTTACGTCAATATTCGATGATTATGTACAAGTTCGTATAATAATCCAAGAAATATGAATGGACACGTACGAGCCCATTAAATGCTGTGTGTAAATATTACTTCATGGAATTGTGAAGAGACCGGCAAATTGTGTCTGGCCACTTTAAGAGAAGTGGCTAGTGAGAAAGAGTTTCCTTAGCTATTTACAAAGAGAAAATCGACTTAAAGGTTAATGAGTTGTTTGTCTATTTGGTTATTCCACCAAATAGTTCTACTTGAAATGTTCGTAAGGCATGTTTGTTTTTGTCATTCGCTTGAGTTGTGTTCCATTTGGCACTTTTACAAGAAGGACGAATATATGACATCTGTTGATCGATCTGTGTTTGAAGTCGTATTACAATATTAATGGAAATCTATGTTAGTCCAACCGGATGACATCACAATTAAATTGATAGTCAAATTTTGTACTATGAAAATTTTAAATGAAATTTTTAGATAAAAACTTAACGAAAATTATACAGTCCGAGAAATGTTGATATTTTTTAAAGAGAGCTGAACTACATGATCGAAATTGCAATGAAAAGGAAACTCAGAGAGATATGTGGCATACAAAGGTCGTTACTAGATATGTTGTATTTATACTGCATTTATTGCGAAATTCCCTCTACGAATTAAATTTAACTGTATCAAAGTTCGAAATTTGATTGTAGTGATCGACAACAAATACACTCACGTATTCTTAGTTTGATTAGGATATTAAACTTTGGGGCTTGGAACCGCTATAGCAATTCTCTTTGCAATAATACGTACTGCTTATCACGTGAACTACTCGAAATATTTATTTTGACCCTTCAGCAATGTTTTATCCCTTAATAAGATCTACAAATTTTGCTTTGAGATAATATCAAAAAAAAAAAAAACATAATACTCATAATGACACTCTGTAAAAAACATACTATTCGAAGTTTTTAATGATTTAATGGCAAAGGAAAAACAAACAACTCTTCTTGAAAACCTGTTTGGATTGGGCGACTTGTTCACGTGGTTATGGCGATCCCGATTGTTCCAAGATTGTACTGCTACACTGTGTCATGTTTAATAGGCTTATGTATGCGGAAATGTTCTAGAATTTATTTATTCAAAGATATTCAAAATGACTGTCACGCCTGTGTGACTTTTGGTGTTTTTTTTTTCAATTTTTACTGACAATAATTGGTTTTGTCTATCAACATTTCAGGTCAGGTAGTTACTTTACGGAGGTAAGTATTGTCTATGAATACTTATAATCCTTATATACGCATTATAAACTGTATGTATTATAACTTGAGTGAAAATCGAAAAAAAACGAGAACAAGTGACAAAATCAGACACTGATGGAAACTATTGTCATAAATCATAAATATACAATCCGACTTTGCGGGCCTTATTTATCGAAAATCTATCAGCATCTACGATTAATGATACTGACATTTTAAAGCTGTATTTTGGGAATTTTTTAAACCCTACTTTTCGGTTCCAATTTTAATACCCTCAGCCTTATGGGTAATGAGGGTAAATACTATTTGATACGGAACAAATGCGCCTTATCGAAATATTGGGGTCTAACATGTTTCTTTGATCAAATCCTATTGGAGACAATTTGGAGTCGATTTCCAAATGTCCGTCCTTCTGTTTGGCCGGCTGGTGTGCACGATAACTCTCGAAGGAAGTAACCGTTTTCAACAAATCTTTGCACATCGTAATATTTCCACCAGACATAGTTCAAGTTGGAAGATGGGGAATATCGGTCTACTCCTTCAGGTTCCTCCCCCATAATGTGGTCAAAATTGTCCTAAAAATTAATTTTATAGCTTCATGCGAACTGACTACCCGATATTAACCAAGCCAATCCTAGTATCTTTACCAAGCCAAGATCAAGTCCGAATTTGGGAACCATTGGTCCACGCCTTCTGGTACCTCCCCCACGAATGGTCAACCTATTATATTTACCAAGCATAGATCAAGTCCGAAGACGGACTCAATTGACCCACTCCTTCTGGTACCTGCCCCAATAATGGCCAACATTTTAAATATTTACAAATCCAATAGTAGGTGAATTGACTGTTCGATTTGATCAACATTAAATCCGAAACCTCTTTGATAAAACATACCTTATATGAAACGAATGACAAAATCTCTGTGTAACTCCGAAGACCTCCGAGAACTGAGGCTCCTAGGCTGAGCGTATATTTGTCGGCAACACCGACTGACACTTTTTTACATGTTTTCTTGGTCAGTATATATTAGTGTTGTGTATAACTAAATGGAGAGTAAGTGTGTGCAAGCGTAGCTGAAAATTCATAATCAAAAATGATTGACATTCGCCATTCGCTAACAATGGAAATTCCAATTGATTGCATGTAACTAGTCCCAGCACTATTTATAAACCATATAAGTTACTAATTTGACCCTAAAAGCACACAAACCGGTGATGTTATACCAGTTAAAAATTTGAACCTAAAGTAAATAGACGGAACCAATTGACTACCATTTTATCCTGTAGTAAACGAGAAGGAGTCTCTTGCAATCTTAAAAACAATCTTAAAAACAATGAATGCAATTACTATATAGTAACTAGTATAAAATTCATATTGACACTAGTATTACGTTGGAATCAAATCAGCTGGGATTTGCTGTTACCTTTTATTATTTTACCATGTGTTAAAGTAAACAGTTAAATACATTGTTAAGGGGTGTAAAGTGGAACTAGTCACTGGATATCTGAGAATCGACGTGTTTCTGATTACGAACTAGTTCGTCCTGCTAGCGGGGCGTGTTTAACCATCGACGCTCGACGTTACGGTAGCGTATATGGATGAGCATGACGTTACGGTAGCGTATATGGATGAGCATGATTTGTATATATCCATGATATTATAGCATAATACCAACAATTTCTTGCTGACAGACAATATTTAATAGTCTTATAAGAAACAAAAACATTTTTTGGGAATGTTCTAGAATTTATTTATTGAAAAATATACGAAATGACTATCGCGTCGTATTGTGTGACTATTGGTTTTGTTAGTCTATTTTTATTGACAACAATATGTTTTGTATATCTGCATTAATTTTCTGGTCAGGTAGTTAGCTTACATATGTAAGAATAATCTATGGATACTTATAATCCAGATATACACTATTGTAGAATAGCAACAGCTTAATTTTTGTATGGTATTATGTTTTATAATTTCATGAGCGAAAATCGCGATAACTTATGACAATAAGTGAAACGTTTTGTCTTTTCTAAAAAAATAATATATATGTATATATTAATTGGTCTTTTCCCGTACTACAAGAATCTACTATTTTATGTTTTATGATATCGAAGAAAATAGTAAAATCTAGTAGATTCTTGCAGTACAGAAACAGATCAAATAATTATAATAATTTACAACCGTTAATATAAATTCCGTCTTGAAGCTGTATTTTATATTTTTTTCAACTTTATTAATTTATATATATCTGATATTTGATCGATATGGGTATGCGCGATCCATTTGTTTTTACGTTCCTTACAAAATAAATTGTCAAAAACGGTAAATTTGGCAATTAAACATTTAACATTTAAATTTTCAAAAATATATTTATATATGAAATTTGAAACACATTTCAGTATAGGTATCATGAATATTTATTCAAGGTAGTCGCATTTGAGAATTTGATAATGACAACCATTTTTAATTTGTAACTCATTTATCAATTTCCAATAAAATTTAAAAATAAATTCCATAAATGGCAAGAATCTACTATTTTTTACTACGATAACGAATTTTCCTTTATGTTATCGAAGAAAATAGTCAAATCTAGTAGATTCTTGCAGTACGGGAACAGGCCAAAAATGATGTGTATGTCGATTGGCATATTTTGGCACAGCTACCAACTGATTACATTTTTTTTCTCAAGGTGGCTTGTTCCATCAAATCAAAATACATATTTTGTGTATGTGTGTGTGTATTGTTTTGAATACTATGTCAAATAAATTCAAAATAAATTGAAATATATTCGAATTTAATAGAAATGAAAATTATGTTTTTAACACGTTCGTCTGGAAGTAATTACTTTGTTATGGATGAAACAAACAATTGATGCTATTCCCTACTGAATTTTGGGAAGAAATCATAACCTTTCATTCATTTTTCGCGTTTTTAGTTTTGTGTTGAAAAAATGTCAAATAAATACAAACACTTGTTGCGTATATTTATTTTATTTTTGGCAGAAGAGGCCACTCGTGCATAGTTGCTTTTTTGTTATTCACCTCAAGCTGCCCTACCTTGTATTATTGTACCATGTTAGTAACGTATAAATGTGTCATATTAAACCTTTAAGTGATCGATTTCATGATGAAAAACATATTAAAATAAGAAAAAAAGTGTTAGTCTATATTGCCGACAAATATATATCCTTCAGCCTATGGTTTGTGGAGGGTTTCAGAATTACACGCCGGTTTTATTATTCGCTTTATACGAGGCATATGTTTTTATCAAGAACAACTGCAACAAATAGCACGACATTACAAAAAACTTTGCCAAGCAAAGCAAAAGCTTTGTAATGTTGTTAGCAATTACAAAATTGCTATGAACATCTATAACATATGTAGGGGAGACTGGGGCACCTTCGGCACTTTTTTTTAGAGCTCTATATTTCAGGACTTATTCAACATATATAACAACTTTATGGCTGATTATTGTCCTCTGACACTTAATTATAAAAAATAGTACCAAAAAGATATAAAAAATAGTATTAGTTAAAAAATTTTACAGTTTTGTAAAAATAGTCAAATTCGCCGAATGTGCCCCAACCCGGGGTAGCTTCGGCATTTGATGGGGCACATTCGGCACCATAGTTATAGCCGGGTAATTGTCATCGCTTTCAGTCTGGTTGAAATTCTGATCCTCTAAAGGCACTATTTGGTTTTAATACGCGACACAATGTTTGAATTTTAGGGCTATATTTTCTAGCGGCGGACGTTGAAATCTCAAAGTCGCACACACCATCAGAAATAGGGGTTTTCTATCGCATTTTCGTTAATACAAGCACGTTTAGTCTTATATATGTAATTTCGAACCATATTAAAGGATTATTTTTAAAGCCAAACTCAAAAACATTTTAAGGAAATAATATTGCACTATCTGTATATGGCCGAATGTGCCCCACTTTAAGATGCCGAATGTACCCCGAATGTACTTTTTATAGTTTTTTTTTTTTCATTTTTTTCGATCAGTTTTGTAAAAACATTATATTTAGTTAACAACTTTTATATAATATTGTCTTAAAAATTTCAAATGTTTTATACACGAAATACTTACGAAATGAAATTGAAATATTACAGAAACATTTATAAAAATACAAAAACCCATTTATCTAAAAAAGCTTATTAGCTAGAAATTTCAAACTTTGTGTCAGTTATTTATTTCGATACTCGATACCTATATATCGAAACTAGTTATGTACGGTGAGAGCTTCATATCGAAAACGCGAATGCCGAAGGTGCCCCGATGCCGAAGGTGCCCCAGTCTCCCCTATATGACAACACGACTAACAACCAAAGCTTGCAATGAAGATTGAGCACCTTGTCAGGGACTGCTTACCAAGATTTTTAGCAAATAAAACCCGAACATTTTTCGAACTCAGTGTTGCTCAAATTTTATAAATTATATGAGAGAATTGAAAATTGCGATTATGATAATTTGTAAAAATGGTAAACAGGAATGCCTACTTCTGATTGACTGTTATGTGGATTTTGAAGTATTGTCCTCCAATTTTAGCATATTTACTAGATCCCGACAGACCAATAGAACACATATACTTCTGAGGTGAATAACGTCGAACGAGCTAGTCGAAATTTAGGACAGATTAAAGACAGCAGATGTTAGACGTTTGGTTATTTTATTTCATAGAATGAAACCTACTAAAAATGATCAATATTGCTCCCATATAACGATCAATCAGTGTTTCAACAAAAGTGGCTGTAATATTATATTTTGGATGATCAAAACCTCTTTACCAAAAATTATCGATAGTAGTTTTCTCTGTAATTCACATGTTTGGTATCGAATATATGTGAGGTGTTGAGTTTATAATTTCACAGCTATTGACAAACGATTACGAATTTCCCGTGGCATATTAACATTAGACACTTTAAGGACAACATGTTCCTATTACTATTATCATCAACCAAAATAATCTAGGGCATGGATCTTAGAATCAAAACTCGATACTCGATAGAATCAGAACTCAATATACTTCTCAATCCGAGTCGTTCTCGAGTTTTAGCGAGACTAACGAACAGCATTTCATTTTTATATACATATATAGAAGATAGATAGATTTTATAAAACGAAAATAATTTCCAATCCTTTTTGGGCTATAGTACGAATTGCAATAAAACTTTATATATACAAATATGTTTAGAGTATGTATCCGATATTCGCTCTTTTCACACTCGCTTCTATGTATGTTTTATATATTCCTGTCTATCTCCAACCTGCCACATTATATCTTCCCTAGAGCACACAATTCATTAACAGTAAAAATCAGTAAACATTTATGTTCGATATAAGTATATTTATTTAAAAATGTATAAAAAGTGTGTATAAATATTATGTGAAAATTGAAGCAAAGTAGTATGTATGTACGCCAAAATTTACATATGAAAAGTAAAAAAATACAAAAATCTAATATTCAATAGCGTACATTTAATAGAACAATTTCAATTTATTAGCCTTCAAGGCACCGCCAATGCATTTGTTAATTTGGGCAGCAGCCTCGCAAGGATGATTGGATCGAATTAAATTGTTGCAGTTATTGGCTGTAGCTACGGCCACAGACACAACCAATTGATTATTCTGCGAGACACTGGCGGCAATGTTTGCAATGCCATCTACCGACAATCTGTTGGTTTTGTCCATCTAAAAGGAAATCGTTGGAAAGTTTTATTAAATGGGAATTTGGGAATTTTGAAATAGCCTACCAATTTAACTTTCTTAAGAATGCAAGCCATCAAACATTTTTCCTGTGGCGTGGGATTGTCTTCGTACAACAGGGACTTGTCATTAATGGATGGATTAAAGCCCAATTCCTTGGCACATTCCTTTTTGGTGTTGACTAGAAGATCTTGCAAATCTTGTATTTCCTGGGGAATCTGGCGTTTTGAACGGGTATAGGTGCTATCGTGTATGCCATTAGCCAAGGGACTGGCCAAGGGTTTTCGTCCCTTATATTCACTCACGCTATTGGCATAGTAGTTTTTAATCTGTCGCCGCATCGAGTATAAGAAAAACATCAATATACAATTTTGAAGTTCTTAGCACTTTACTTACACTTTTGCAATTGGCCAAGTTAATGTAGGCCAAAACAAAGAAAATCACCGTCACAGATAATTTCATGTTGTCTGAAATGCTAAATGCAAGTTGTCGAAAGTTGATTAGACTGTGATGTGACTGCAATGGCTTAACAAATGACTGATCAACCTATTTATACACCGATTTTCTACGATTTTGTGCTGATGCGGTAGTTTTATTTTTTTATTTGCTGTTGCAACTTTCGTTTGCTTCAAGGTTATGGAATTACCTTTGTTAAGTTCAATGTGACCAAAGAAGGTAAAGACAAAAAGCAAAAATTCCGCCTCATGTTTAATTTTGGTACTTCCATAATTAAGAAAATTCTTTGTGTTTTATTACATTATGCAACAAAATAGAAATGGAAAAAGGGGGAGAACACATACTTCGACTTCAGGCTTGGCATGTTAGTTGGTTTATTTTATTGTAAAAGAATAAAGGAGAACGGCGCCCAAAATCAAGTTTGTCTCTAATATTCCTTTATAAGTTGAGAGGTCAGGCTTGAGTCCTCGTATTTGTTTCCCCTTAAGGATATGTGAAATTGGTCAACATACGAATATCGATTATTGTCGTTGTGTACCCTAACTTAAATCCTATTAACTCGTCTTTTGGAAGATAGAAGTAAGATATGTTTAAAAAATCTTCCTTATCCGATTTGAATGAAGGAATGTCATATTGAAAATAACGTGCAATAGCCTCAAACAATGATATAAAGGTTTTTCTTCTTGATCTTAAGAGATACCAGCCAAAAATTCACTACTCAAATACTTGACCTATGACGAATGTTTCCTTCTGTATTCTTAAGATACTAGCCAAAGACTTTCATCCCCATAAGGAATTTTCTACCCTCCAAAATCTTGTTACACGGCGTTTTTTTTATAAAAGACCTCTTTAATGAAAACTTGTACAAAAAGGTCAAGAGGATCCTTGGTTCTTTTTAGTAGATCATTTTTTATACTCTGCACCCAGGGTTATGTTGAAAAGAAGAGCGGCTTACACCACCACATATCCAATATTAGGATATACACTTAAGCCTGTAAGAGGCCTGTTCTGCGCTCTTAAGAAGGAATAAAGTTAAAAGAAGTCATATATGGGTTTGTCCTTAACGTCTAGCAATTCTTCCTTTATTTTCTAAAATTTGGTTCTGAAACTTAAAAAGACTGAGCAGTGGCAAAGGAAATAGTCTAACGTCTTCGCTGTCTTCTCCACACGCTCTATACGAGCAGCTTCCCTCACATCAAATATTGGTCAGTCTACTGATTTCCTTTTTTTTAGGATTAAGATTCGCTTTGTCTCATCCTCATTTGGGTCTCTCCATAACATTTTTGTGTTGTCTCAGTCCCCTCACTATTCCAAAGAATTGTGTAGGTTTTCGTTGTCCATGACATTAGTTTTAGTCGCGTTGCACTAAAAGGTTTGCATCCATTGTATGTCGGTCGATTGCACTTGTGGGGAGTATATTTGCTATCTCGTTTCCTTTTATTTTTATGTAACTCGGTACCCATATGATTCGCACGATACCATGCCGTGAGAAATTATGTATGGTTTTTATACATTCTAATATAGTTTTGGATTTGACTGTTTTAGAGGTTATTGTTTTTATGGCTTGTTTACTATCTGTCATAAAAAATATTATTATCTTAGTCTAGTGAACAGACATATTTCCGTCTTCGTCGGATTTACATTAAGGTCCCTTGGCCTCGCCCAATTAAAGGCGATGTTTAACACCGTTTCAGGCTTCCTAAACAACAAGTTAAGATTTTTTCTCCTCAGAAGTATTTTAATCTCGTCTGCATAACACACGGGTTCAAAAAGCCCCGACATCAGTGGTGATAAAATCCCTCCTGCGGTGTCCCTTCTCCCTGATATTTATGTCTTGTAGTCTACAGTTCATCCATCTATTCCTAAGCATGATGCAGACCTAAGCTATGGCTGTCTGGTCAACTCGAAAGGTCTGTAAGGATTTAGGAAGCGTTTCAGTGCCGACATTATTGAAAGCTCACTCGATATCAATGCACACTGCTAAACTAAACAGGATTTTGGTGTTGGGTAGTTTGCCTTGTCGCACTTTGATATGAGGACTACTCTAGCTTTCTGCCAAGCTTTCGGATTGTACGCAAAACGCAAACATGCGTTAAAGAGTTCTGCTAAATTTGGTGAATATATACCGCCTCATTTTGTAATAAAGGGGGAAAGACGTGGTCTGTGAACATATAGTTAGGTCTAATACAGGGTTCGTCGACAATACATATGCAAACTGCTATGTTTGTGTTGGATCCCTTGTGAGAGCAATTTTCGCTCTCTCGGTACAGATCGTATATTTTAATCAGTGGTTGGCATAACAAAATTGAGCGTAAGTGTGGAAGAGCGTAACTGAGAAATCACAATTAAAAACGACTAAAGGAAAGAGATAAAGGAGATTGCGTATTTAACCATCGACACTCAGTTACGGCCGAGCCTGCCTGATTTTAAAGCATTGCAAAGCATACGACATGTTCGATGTCGAGAAAATGTTGATTTCGAACACAAAACTATGATTGTATTGGTACTCTCTCAAAGCGCCCACGGGCGCACATGAGTGCACATGTGCGCCGAAACGCCGACCGTTGGTCTAATACAGTGATGCACACGGTGAGAGGATGGCAATTTGTAAATGTATGTGTGAGACTAGCACACAAAGTTAAAGCGGGCCACACACGTTAAACATGTGCTTTCCATCGGTGTGAATTAAATTAAAATAAATAAAATTGATCGGTCTTTTTTGCGTCGTCACTATCGCGGACCATCTTAATTTTTTAAAAACCAAAGTTTTGTCGATTCATTTGTGGTCTATCAGCTTCACACCGATCAAACGTACATGTTTGACGTGTGTGGGGCGCTTAAGTGTAGCCGCAATATGATGCGCACCACCATAGACTTGTTTGCTTGTTGAAGTCTCAACAACGACTAAACAAATGAGCGTAAGAATCCGTGTGAGTTGAGCTGACCGCTAGAGTGCAAGGGCGTGCATCCCTGGTCTAATACCACCTCTTTAATTCTATTAACGAAGGTTGGTTTATTGCAACGTTCACCAAACAGGCGCCCGTAAGCGCTTTGGGGAGTACCAGTACAAACACAGTTCTGTGTTCGAACTCAACATTACTCTCGACATCGAACATGTCGTTTGCTTTGCAATGCTTTAACATATACGATCTGTACCGAGAGAGCGAAAATTAGTCTCCCAACCGATCTATGCGTGTGTCCAACACAATCATAGCAGTTTGCATATGTATTGTTGGCTATCCCTGGTTTATTGCCTATTTTAATCGTTATTAGATCTTTAGTATTGATGAAATCTATGAGGGCCTGGCCTCTTTTGTTGGTATTAGTACTACCCAGACAATATGGTGTGGTCACTACCTAACAGTGCTTCGTTACCTGTTTCTTTTGATTTTCTCACCAATGGTCGTCTAATTTGATATTATGGAAGTCCTTTTGTCACAGAACATTAATGCCTGTGTGCGGCGGTAATGCATGATGGTCATGTGATGTAATGTGAAATATAGGGATCCTTTGACATTTCTTACACTAGCAATCACGAAAGCGGAGTTGCATCCCGCACGATTTGATAATCGGTTAAAAAAGGCTATTGAGGATTGGTGACAAATCATAGATCTTTGTGTACGAGCACGGAACAAGACGAGACAAATATAACCAAAGTTGTTCGAAAAGAAAGTCTTCGAAACAAATGGTTGCATCGTTCTTCGGCGAAATAACATGGAGACGTTAATTTCAGCTGGCACACCACAATTTGTTTACCTGAAGTCGTCGGAGAAAATCCACAAACAATCAAAAGTAGACGAGCGCCCAATGTCTAATTTTACTGTATATTAAGAAAAGGTGAGTGGTCAATGTCATTCCGTTAGCAAAACCTCCAAAAAATTGTATTTATTAATATTTATTAACGTATTTTTATGATGTTTATTAAACGACTCAATTTCGGTGTAGTCCACATATAACGTTTTTTTGGGGAGTATGGGCAAGTTCCTTAGTCAAATTGGATTGGATTCTCATTGGGTGTAAAATGTAACTACCAAAAATTAAATATTTTCGGTATTTTCAAGGTTCTAGCACAAACTAAGCGTCTGTAGTTTAGTATTTCGTTGTCTCCTGAAAGCACCTGTGAAGGTTATTAAGAGTTCGCCCGGCTTACATTTTACTTGAAAAGTTTGAAGTTTTGATCATAACTTTTACAAAATTTCCTATATCAGACAACTACGGGTTTTCGGCGAAGTACTATATATTTATTAAATTAAATGTAACTGTATTAGCAGCAACATTTTTAATCTAATTTTTTTTTTATCAAATTAATATATCCAACTAATCCATTTAATAACACAACAGACATATCCCCATTTATTTATTTTCGATTAAAATCGTTCACCGTATATGTATGTGTACATATGTGTATAAATGACATGTCTAAATATCCGTTGTAATAATAATCGGAAACATGTTGTCCATCATCTGATAAAAATTTAACATTTTTTTTATTTTTCTGGCATGATTATTATTATTATTTCAAAACGTATGAATATAAATAAGGACAGCATCTCATTGCAAATTAGTTCAATTTTTAGTGACATTGTTCAACGTATCAATAAGTGAAAAAACGCTACACAAGGTGTAGTGTTTATATTTTTTTAGCAATTAACACTTTTTCACAAAAAAGTGTGAAAAATGTATTTTTTCAAAACATTTTTAGTTTGTCTTAGTCTAATTGCCATCGTATATGTAAGTAAATATAAATGTTGAGAGTGGAATAGAAAATACGAGTACAAAAAATATAAAAAATAAGAAACAGTGACAAATATAAATGTACCGTTGTCGTGCTATATATATTTTAATTGTATAATATGAATTATGTATATCGGAAACATAGAATTTGATGTAATACCTTCAGATAACACGGTCACAAACAAAGTGCTAACTATATCAAATAAAGTTAAATCTATGGGGGTCATCCTAGACAGAAAACTTAAATTGAAAGGTCACAAACGGGAACGGGC